GAGAACAAGGACATTGGAAGAGAGATTGCCTAAAGCTCAGAGAGAAGGAGAATAGTAAGAAGAAGGGCCCGAAGGTTAATAAGGTGAATGTTGCTAAGAGTGGTAACAATTCCGATGATTCGTGTTTTTCTCTATTGATTACTCCAGAGATTACCCATGCGGAAGCATCAGATTGGATGTTGGATTCTAGTGCTACTTAACATGTGACCCCCCGGAGAGATTGGTTTGCATCGTTTTAGGAGCTCGATGGAGGTGTAGTGGTTATGGGAAATAATCAGTCCCGTGGCATTTGTGTGATAGGTACCGTCAGGATTCGAATGCACGACGGAGTTATAAGAGAATTGAATGAAGTAAGGTTTGTTCCTCAGCCGAAGAAGAATCTTATTTCTATTGGAGCTTTGGAGGCAAATAGATTCAAGATAACTTTTGAGAATGTTGTAGCTAAAGTTACTAAGAGATCTTTAGTAATTATGAAAGGAGTCGCGATAGAAATCTCTATTATCTGAAGGGAAGTACCGAGATTGGCTAGGTAGCTTCAGCAATTTCAGAGACGGATGCGAGCAGACTTTGGCACTTCAGATTTGGGCACACAGGGGAAAAGTCATTGCAGGTATTGTGCAAGCATGGACTATTGAAGGGAGCCAAGAGTGAGAAAGTTGAATTCTGTGAGCATTGTATTCTTAGCAAGAAGACTACAGTGACTTTCAGGACAACCATTCATAGGACGACAGACATCTTGGACTACGTACACACGGATGTTTAGGGTCCCACCAAGACGACATCACTTGGTGGTCGACATTGGTTCGTCACATTTATAGATGATTATTCTAGGCGTTGTTAGGTGTACACCATAAAGCAGAAGAGTGAAGTCCTAGAGATATTTGTGGAGTGAAAAAAAGGTTGAAACTGCAGATAGGGAGAAAGATCAAGGCGTTGAGATCCGATAACGGTGGAGAGTACACATCAGACCCCTTTCAACAGCTATGTTGAGACGATGTTATAGAGAGATACTTCAAAGTTAGTCATACGCCACAGAAGAATAGGGTGACAGAGAGGTTGAATCGGTCTTTATTAGAGAAGGTCCGATGTTTATTGTCGCAAAGTGATTTAGAGAAGATCTTTTGGGCTAAGGCACTTACACATGCGAGCCACCTCATCAATAGCCTGCATTCATCTGCGATAGAGGGATAGACTCCTATGGAGATGTGGTCGGGAGAACCAGCACATGATTATGATCAACTCAAGATTTGTGACTGTCCTATATTTTATCATATTAAAATTGATAAGTTGGAACCTTGAGCTAAAAATATCATATTTGTGGGTTTCAAGCGTGGAGTGAAAGGATACAAGCTTTGGAATCCAGTTGAGAAAAAGATTGTGCTGAGAAGAGACGTCACATTTGATGAGGCTTCGCTCTTGAAGTCTCCTAGCTCTCATCAGGTGGAGAGCACCCTGACAAATGAGACATCGTAGGTGGTGGAGATTGATGCAGCTTCATAGTGTCCTGATGAGACCGTATCCATTAGAGTGCCAACTAAGGTGATGTCAGGCGAGCACAGTGATGATTTGAAGGATATAGGTGCAACAGAGCAGGATCAAGAACCGACGGTTCAGGTTCATAATTCTATTGCAGTTTGGAGACCCAGGAGGGACATACGGTTGTTAGCGAGGTATACAGATATAATGATTGCTTATGCACTTCCGGTAGAGAGTGTCAATGAGATGATTTCTACTACATTTAGAGAGGCCGAGTAGAGTTCGGAGGCTGATTTGTGGCAGATTGCTATGCAGGAGGAGATGAAGTTTCTTCATAGGAATCACACATGAGAGTTTGTCGAGCTTCCAAAAGGGCGGAAGGCAATTGGTTGCAAATGAGTATATACCAAGAAGGAAGGCATTCAGGGCACTCCAATGAGGTTTAAAGCTAGGTTGGTAGCGAAGTGTTATGCTCAAGAAGAAGGTATTGACTACAATGAGGTATTCTCTCCGGTGGTGAAGCACTATTCGATTCGGATCTTACTAGCTTTGGTGGCACAATATGGACTGGAATTGGATCAGTTGAACGTGAAACCAATTTTTTTTCATGGTGATTTTGATGAGGAAATTTATATAACTCAGTCATTGGGGTTTCAAGCTACATGGAAAGAAAGATTGGTTTGTAAATTGAAGAAGTCGTACATTAGGAGCCAGTTTGATCCTTGCGTGTACTATCACAAGTTGTATGGAGGTGCGTACATTTATTTGTTGTTTTATGTCGATGACATGTTGGTTGCTTTCATTTCTTGATCTGCCATAGATGAATTGAAGAAGCAGTTTTCGACCAAGTTTGAGACGAAGGATTTGAGTGAAACAAAACACATTTTGGGGATGGAGATCAGCAGCGACAGAGATAATGGCAGAATTTGTTTGACACAAGTGACTTATTTGAAGAAGGTGCTACAGCGATTTAATGTCAGTATGGAGACGAAGTCAATCAGTGTACCTTTGGGAGCCCATTTAAAGCTTTCAGCTAATCTTTCACCGAAGTCAGTTGAAAATAGAGAGTTGATGTCGAAGACTCCTTATGCGAGCGTAGTGGGAAGTTTGATGTACGTCATGGTATGTACGAGGCCGTATTTGTCACACGCAGTTAGCATGATTTTACGATACATGCACAACCCGGGTCCGAGTTATTGGGATGTCGTGAGGTGAATATTTTCGTACATTCGAGGTACTCTCAACGTTGATTTTGTGTTTGAGGGGGACACTAGTGGTGGGTATTTGTGTATTGGTTATATCGATTCAGACTATGTTAGAGATTTGGATAAGCGTCGGTCGACGATGGGGTATGTGTTCACTTTGACCCGTGCGCCAATGTGTTGGAGACGCACCTTGCAGTCTATAGTTGCTTTGTCAAGGACAGAGACAGAGTATATGGCGATTACAGAGGTTGTTAAGGAGGCAATTTGGCTTCGAGGACTTTTGGATGATCTTGGTATTCCACAGCGGTCTGTCACCATTCGTTGTGATAGCATGAGTTCTATCTATTTGGTGAAGAATCAGGTTTTCCATGCGAAGACGAAGCACATTAACGTTCGTTATCACTTCGTCCGAGATGTTCTTGAAGATGGGGATGTGGAGCTCGTGAAGATCCACACAAAAGACAATCTAGCAGATATGCTCACGAAGGTGGTCCCTAGCAACAAGTTCGGTCATTGCAGAAGCTTGTTGCGGATTTACGCTTGTTGAGACCTTTCGAGGCCATTTGGATGAACTACGGACGGCTTGATCTCTTTGGAGAGGGGATACATAGGCAACCACATTAGTATAGCCGGATTTGAAGAGACGACGTATTGGTGCTCATGTTAGTGTCGGCTCAGTTTTGGGAACATTTCACCGAGCTGGAGAATTGTGAAAACAGCGTGGTCGGTCGATCGAAAATGCAACTCAGTCAACCGAATACAGAAAATTCGAAGCTACAAGAAATGTCTCTGTTCGGTCGACTGGTGAACAGTATCAGTCGACCAATAACATGCATGTTACAGGGTTGGAAAACATCGTTCTGGTCAGTCGACCGATCCACCCAATCGGTCGACTGATGAAGACTTATCGATCGATCGATAGAGTTTTTCGGTCGACTGATAGCGGGTTACTGGGCTGATTCGGATTCCTAGCCTATTTTGGTTTGGGTGTTTATATAAAGTTACACACATTTTCTAGGGTTTTAAGAGAGGCGTTAATCAGAGAAAATTGGTTGTTTTGAGCACTTTGAGAGGGAGATTATTTGTTGGTGAGTGAGATCTTTTGGTTAGGGTTATTTTGAGTATTTGAGAGAGTTGTAACATATTGTGTTTCTCCTCATATAGTGAAATATCCTCATCCTCTCTTCGTGGACATAGGCAAATTACCGAACCACATAAATTCTCTGTGTTTGTAATTGATTTTGGTCATTCTATTGTGGACTGCAGTCGTATGTGATTCTTCCTGCGTTGCTTACCGACTCGTTAGAAATTGTGCACGCTTCCGCCATGCGCAACAAATAACACATATTATTCTCTTCTACACATATTATTCTATTATGGACCATTATATGTTACTCCTTATCGTATGGCTAAATGAGAATTTTGTAATAGCGGTGGTAAGGGGCTGTTTGGTTCCTTTTTTTTGTGGTAAAAGTGGGGAAATCTGTCAAAAATGTCAGCTTTTTGGCAGCTTTCCCCCAAAATCACCCCTTAAAAAGGTGATTTTGGGGGAAAGCTGTCAAAAAACTAACATTTTTGACAGATTTCTCCTCTTTTACCACCCAAAAAAACCTATGTTTAAACTGATTCAATTGTTTTTCCAAAAATAAATTCAATTTATTGCTTTTTTCAAAAGTAAATTCAATTTGTAGCTTTTCTCCCCCAAAATCACCCCTTAAAAAGGTGATTTTGGGGGAAAGCTGCCAAAAAGCTGACATTTTTGGCAGGTTTCCCCTCTTTTACCACCCAAAAAAACCTATCCAAACAGCCCTTAACTGCAAGCCCAAGGTCTTCGTAAACAGTAGAAAGTTCCAGTATGTCCGAAACCCCACACTTTCGGGTCGGCACGGCCCATGGGTTCTTAGGCCGGAGTTGTTACTCGGGGACATTTTAACGGGCTCACCAATTATTCACATAGTTAATTTTTGGGGACAGGGTAAATTGATGTATAGTTGTTCCTAGATTGTCCCCAAGTTGGCTTTGTATGTAGCTTACCTACGGAAGAATGTGTCTTTGCAAACTAATAATAATCAGATGAATATATGTAATAAAATAATAGAAAAGACATGGTGGTGTATACGTGATTAAGATTACTCTAAAGCGGAAAAAAAAAAATTAAATAAAAAAAAAAAATCCATGCATCAGATGACGAAAAATTCTTACCATTCACATCGCATAGACGTTGAGCGCAAGCAAACATTCTTACCAAGTTCATTTTAGCCAACTCTGGTGCTATTTGCTCCATTGACTATCATCACCACCACTTACCATAACTGGTGCATTTAATGATCTCTGTTATACATGATCAAGCTGTCTCAATCAATGCTATTTTCCTAAGAATGCTTTGTATACCCTCGTCGTATTAAATTGAAAATCATTACGTCTTGTTACAGACATAGGAAACATGTAATTTACCTACAATAACAATTATGGTAGCGTTTCCTCCTCACTGTTGTCAGTTACAAGCGTTATGATTTTATACCCAAGTGAAGCTCATAGTGCCTCAAATATTGATGTAGTTCAATACTCTCAGAAAAATAGGGGACACATCAAAGCCTCAATGAGCGAAAACATTAAAGCCTCAATGACTACTCCCGCCCTCACCAGCAAGCTTTAGACGCTGATGATGCTCTGCCACCTTATAATCCACAATCTCCATAAACAGCTGAGAATCCAACACACAGTCCTCTCGCCCGTATACCGCAGCCTGAACGCTTGCCATCAGCTTCGCAATCTCTCTCCCGGAGAACCCCTCAGTTTTCCTTGCTGCTTCAAGAATCACATCGTCACCCACATCCTTCACAAATATCTTCTGCTGCTCTTTCTTATAAAGAGATCTCCAAATGGGGAATCGATTATCATTATCATCGTCAATGTTGTCTTTGGAAATGTATCGCTTTAAGTAGAGTTTGAGAAGCTTGAACCGTTCTTCCTCTCTGGGGAGGGGGAATTCGAGAACTTCGTCGATGCGGTCAGTTATCGCGGCATCAAGGTCGCCAGGTCTGTTGGTAGCGAGGACGAGGACTATGTCTCTTGACTGGTCTCCAGTACGGAAGAGGAGCGCGTTGAGAGCGCTGCGCTGGGCTTCGCTCATGTGCTGGCTGTTACGCCTGTATGCATAGCAAAAGATTGGATGGCGATGAGAAGGCACCAAAAATATTTACAGTTCAAAATGAAGTTTGGTTTGTTGCAACATATTGCAACTGTAGTTGCATGACATGAACCAATTGTAATTGTTTGTTTCCTTGCAACTAATAAATGCATTTGCAATCGCAATCGCAAAAAGGCCGAATTTGTTAACAGATGCCTGGGCCACTCGAAACTTTG